GCTACTCTGCTCGGAGGTTGCTACCTCAACTCTGTGCCTTTGCTGGGGGAGACCAGAGTATCTGGTCCAGCAGGACAGAGTGGTGAGGTGCTCCTGAAGACAGAGAGGTGGGCTCCATAGCATGACCAGAACACCAGGTTACAGCCTTAAGGGGACTTCTGTGATCCAACCAATCACATGTCTCCAGTGAGCTGACTAGTGATGACCACTACGTGGGACTGGCCTGTGGGAAATGATTGGGGGTGAAGCCAGAAGAAGAGCTGATATCTGTATCAGAAATCTTAGAACTGATGATGCTTGCCACTGAACTTGTCTGAAAATGAGACTTTGGCTCCCAGAGGACAAGAGCTGAGGTTGTCAATGAAGCCAACTGAGCTTATAGGACCACATTCTGCATTTTCATGGTACAAAGCTCTGCCTACAAGCTCTGTCTGGCTCTGACCAGCACCACCAGGGAAGTGTTGGCCTGTGTCTGTCCTTGCTTGTGAGATGCACCTCTAGCCTTTGTAGCTGCCCAAATTGTTGCCATCAAAGACATAGGTGGCCAGGTCTGGTGGTGAAAGAAAGTTCATCCTACTGGTTAGAGCTGGGTCCAAGGTGGGCAGAGTCTAGGAAATGAGCTGAAGGTTGGTACTAGAGGGCCACAAGCCAAATGCCAGAACTGGGGACATGGTAGGGTTGGGTAAACTGGTGTTACAAGCCCAAGACAGAGCTAAGGATCAAAGACAGAAGCCTGAAGCCAGAGGGGAGCAGGAGCTTCCCTGGACTGGACTGGAACAAGGGCAGGAACAAGCAGGATCAGGGACAGGAAGGAGGACAAGAACAGCTGCAGGCATTGAGCAGCCACTAATCTGCTGTGGGGGCGGGAGGAGGTCAGACTTATAAGCAGGCCTACAAACCAGCAATCATTTGGGTTGTGGCCACTCTGTAAGATCTAAGGTGGTGCAGTTGGGCTCAGTGGTTGCCTACTGGCATAATCAGAGATGACCAGCAGCTGTTCCTAGCTTGTCTGGTCCCTGACAGTGGGAAGCTCAAGCCGTGAAGCTCGGGCTCAACTGGAGATGTCGAGGTTGCACTAGTTGACAAAGGTGAGCTACCAGAGGCATAGCCATTCAGAGCACCTCCATTACTATTAGTAATACAGGTAAGAAACTTGGCATTCCATTATATATAGGGTCTTCTACCTCATCACCATAATATCTGAGCACCTTCCTGTAGTGCAAAAAGTGACATAACTAACATCTGCCATGATAGCATCCTTTCTCTGGGGACAGAAGTGTGTATGGTAGACTCTGTTTGAGTTAGTAGTTATACATTTTCTTGTGTGTGTGTGTGTGTGTGTGTGTGTACGCGCATGTGCGAATAAGAGAAAACAAAGAAATGCACCTTGCACTTTGAGCAGAAGGATGGGAAGTTTGTGAAGGGCCTGAGGTCCTGATGGAGTTCATTCCACAATTGTGGACTGGCCTATGAGAAGGTTCTTTCACCTGACCAGTTGAGTTTTACTCTTATTATAAAAGTGTCCCATTGTGCCAGAGGAGCAAAGTTGTCAATCACAGTATTTATCTCCAGGCTTTAGACAGTCTTTTAGGTATCTTGGTCTCACATCGTGACGCAACCTGAAGATAAAGCCTGAGATCTTTAACATCATTACACTGGGAAGCCAGTGTAGAGTGGATGACAGGTTTGATATGTTCCTAATAGGAGCTAAGGCACCTCACTGTAGCCTTCTGTCCCATTTAGAGTTTCATGCTTGCCAAAGGCTCCATGCTCAGGTGTGTCAAGTTTCAATAGTCCAGATTGTTGGTGAAAAAATGTGAATTACTGAGGCCAAATCATTTAGTCTTCTAGACAAGTTGGTATGGTATAAAGTGTTAAGACAGATATGTAAAAATATGTTTGGCATGATAGCAAATGTTCAATGTCTTTTTAATAGTATGTGCACCTAAAACATACTGCACCAAATGCTTCAACTGTACTTTCTCTGTCCATGTGCAGTTGAATTATATACTAGACGCAAAGTGTATTCTTATATGTCGAGATGATAATTATGTTTAATAAAACATTGTATAAGTGTGAGAGTGTTTTCATATTAGTAGAGTATGCCCATACAAGTGATATCGCTATTTCCATGGTAACTGATGACTACAAAGAGGGAAATCAGAGAGACTTTTTTTTTTCTTAAAAAGAGTCCCAAAGCAAATAAAACAAGACAAATATGTGAAATACACCAAACATGTGCATGGGGGTTATTATGAAGATTTTATAGACACTTATTTGGGGAGAACTGCAACACTTATCAGCCATTATGCACCATAGGCTAGAAGCATGCAGCAGTTCCGCAGTAGTATCCAAACAAGTAGCAATGGAAATGTCAAAGCACCTCACACCATCTCATTGTCTCTGTCTGTGGGCCTGATCTTGAGAGGTACTAAAGCTGACAGCAATTGCAGGTGCTAAGCACTTCTCTTGGGAGCTTAGCTGATAGCTATGTAGTGGGCTATTGTAGTGAGTTCTGTATGTCAGAAGATGATGAATAGCATAAAAGGCACCGCTGAATTATAGTAATGGTCGGCTGGTTGATTCATTGAATAATAAGTACTTATCGGATTTATTTTGAAGGCCTTTATTTTTTTTGGCAGGCACTTTAATTTTCACAGTGAGCATGCTGTACCTTGAATTACTTTGTATATACACATAGTGATTTGACTGATTAGATGCTTTAAATAAGAAAGTGCCTTACCTTGTGCTCCTGTCGTACGTGTTTCTTAAATATCAGACATCAAGGGACTGCAGTACAAGAAGACAGTGGCATTGAAGACATTGATCTGAGCATAAGTATCTCCCAGAGCAGTGCATTTCGATACAAAAACAATCGAATATGTCAAATGTCTGCTAAAATGTTAATGTTAATGGCCAAGGTCACCTTTAAAGGGATGCACCACTGCAGTTGTGCACTGTGCCCTAGGCAGGCCTTATTAGCACCTGCACTGACAGCCTCCACACTACCTCTCTCTTAGCTCTGCATTGAAAATGATTCCAGAGGCAACTGCCTCTCCCGTCTGATGCTGAATAGCTCTCCCCCTCCCAGTCAGCCAAGACTCAACTTTAATAAAAATCTTCATTAGTTGCCATCTAAACGCGCAGGTGGCCTACACCACACACTGCAGCTGACCCTGGGAAAACTAAAGCAGGTTCTAATTAGAAATGGACTGAGACTGCAGCCGTGGGTTCGAACAAGCTTCGAGTTAAGGGGAGATTTGGATCTGGATTTGAATGTCAGAGGGTCAGGGCTTTCTCTAGAACCAAGGCGTGTGTTCTTGCTGGCAAGCTGGGCCGCAATATTGCAGCAGGGGCCTTTGACTGAGCAGTGCTCTGGGTCAGAATGGAGATTCTGTTGCAGCCTTATTTTAATTAAAGAATGAAGGTTTTAAAATGAATGACACACAAAAGGAAAATGCAATCAGTGCAGTGGTCCCTGTTGTTTACCTGGATGTTAAATTTGACATTTTAACTAGTATATTAAAAAAGTCTCATTTTTTAGTCTGTGTAGGTTTAGTACAACTGAATCATACAGATTGCTTTGGAGAAAGAGGGGAAGGGGATGCAACCTGTTTGTTTGGCTCCTGTGAAGCCATAGGATTCTGAGATCAAGCTATTACTTGGATTTTTCTGCTAAGCTGGTCACTAGTGAATAGTGATAGTTAGAGCATCTTCTCTAAGTTTCAGAGGGAACACTGCGACATTCAGAGCTTTTCACAACTCTCGGAGCTCCTGTTTCGGGTTGCTGTTAGGACAAGAATGCTGTACCAGTTTATATTCATTTCAATTGTTCAAGGCTGTTTTCACAAGCATGAGGGCCACCGTGTTATTTCTAAATTACAGCTTACACAATTCTGCAGCAAGAATTGGATTTCTCAGTGCATTCTGGGGTTGTGGAATACATGAAGACCTGTGAATAAAAGGAAAATCTTAAATCCAATGCAATTTCTCTTACTCACTACCCTCAAACTTTGGGGAAAATGGAGTTGGCAGCTGATCCAAACTTTGCATCTTGTGTTGCTCCTAATATTGGCAATGAGCTGAGCTCAGTTTTAAATCCAGGTTTTAAATGAGATGCTGTAATATCCCATATCTGTTCACTGATTATTTGAAATGGCAGGATTTTCAGAGTAGCTCCATTATCTGTCATGGAGGGTTCCAGAGTTCAAAGCCTTTGCCAGATCAGAAAGTGTGAGACACTGATGGCAACACTGAACCTGGGTTTCTCACGCAGCAGCACTGATCACTACCAGTGAGTTCCTTTAGGAGTTTTCATTTTCTATTGACATTCCTCCCAATGAAGCCTCTTCTGGCAGGCAGGTGTAAACATGAGAGTGATGGTCCATGGATACAATTCCTGTTGGCAACTAATCACAACTTTACAAGGGCAGACTATTGAGTCACAGCCAGGATAATAAACTACAGGAATAAGCCATAACTGAGGCTACGTCTAGATTGCAGGCTTCTTTCAGAAGAAGCTTTTCCTGAAGAGATCTGGAAAAACTTCTTCAGAAAGAGACCGTCTACACAGCAAAAGTGCAATTTAAAAGCGATCTGCTTTTTCAAAAGATAGCGTCCACATTTATTGGATACTATCTCACATTTCAGTTGTTATTAGTATGGACAGAGTGGCCACCAGAGCACCTGTGTTGTTTCCTAGAGGCCTCTTCCACTTCTACACATGCCTTTTTCCAAAAAAGCTTTTTCGGAAAAAGGCTTCTTCCTCGTAGAAAGGGGTTTACCGCGGTCGAAAAAAACCCTCTGTTCTTTCGACTTTTTGTCAAAAGAATGCAATAGAAGTGTGGACGTAAGTATTGTTTTTCCAGAAAAACTCTGCAGTGTAGACATTTCCTAATATAGTTCCTCCTTTGCTCAGCCAGACAACTGCTCCCCTTCTTCCGGGAATGAAAATGCTTCTTCATCTGCCTATTTCCCTTCCCTTCTCCACTCTACAGGAAGACAACAGCCCTACTGCCCTCCCTGGCACATGCAGGATGACAGCTCTATGACTCCTCCATCCACCACATATGCTCATGGGAAATACTAATCCTTGGTGCTAGCAGGAAGTCCTGGTGAGTGATGCTGGGACTTGTGGCTTTTGGGTGATGACAGGGGTGGGTCTCAGGGGCTCAAATATTTTTGCACTGATTGAGGGATTAGTGCTTAGAAATGTTTATTCTCCTGAAAGGATGTTAACTAACCCTACCCAGGTACAACATGAAACAATGAACCTTAAAGTGTAGGTATCACCCAGTGCAATGCTTCATTTTTTTTCAGTGGGTTTGAAGATGTTGAATATAATTACATAACACGTTGAAAGTGTCTCAGAATTACAACAAAGGTTCCTCCCCCAGCAGAAAGTGCATAGCCATTTGAATTCCATGCTGATATCACGCACAAACCCTCTAGGTTCCTTCCATTTTCCGCAACAAAGAAAAGTGTCAATGACCCAATGGCCTTAAATAGGTTTCATTTTTCTTTGATTTTTTCCCCTACAGCTAATATTTTCTCCAAAAAGGGAAAGTTGTAGGTACTTGTGGCCATAGAAACAAGGAAACCATATGTCAGCAGCAGCTTGGGACTCAAACAGCCTTTCAGAAGTTTCTGAAAGAAGGAATCATGGCTGATGTACAAATATTAGCATTTCTTTCAGTTGTGTGAAATTCCTGCAAAGTTTTACAGAATTAATCTTCAATATCAAAACATTTACAATACCATTTAATTATCAGGGTGTTTCTCAGTTTGTTTTAATTACCATCTTGTTTCAATTCTCCACTCTACCACAGCCCTTCCAATGTGACCTTGGGCAAGTCACTTACTTCCCCTTTTGTGTGCCTAACTTCCCCTTCTGTGAACAGGGGATAATAGCATTGTCCTACCTTAAAAGGGTGTTGTAAGGTTCAAGGCATTTAAGTTTGGGAAGATTTCAGGTACTGGGATAATGGGAACCACATAAGTAGCTTACACAGACTCACAATATTTGTTTTTGCTGTAACAGTTTCTGAGATAGCAAACACTAAAGTCAAAGTGGAACTGAAGTGTATTAGATATAAGCATATTGAGCATAATCAGAAAAATATATTTAAATATAGATTTTAATAGGATCTCATGAACTGTCAGGAAAGGAATACATTTGCTATACATAATTGGAAAGTTAGGATTTTTGCTTTCATGGTGCAGATAAGGTTAGTTTCTCATATGGGTGGTTCATGAGATAACTCCTTGTGAAACTGTCCTGTAATTTAAACCAGGAATTTAAGCTGTCAATTCCAAGATATATGATAGCCCATCTCTATGTATTTGGTAGCTTTCTCTCCTATCTTCCCATAGGTTTGTACATACAACATCTTTCAGAAGAAGAAGTGAAAGCAATGAATGAAAAGTCTGTGGGCCAAATCCTTCTTGCCTGACTTGTACATGTCATCCTAGGAATTCACTTGCACTGCTTGCATGGGTATTTGCCTGTCTTGGTACTTTATGGCCCCTATCATCTTGGTGTATTTGCATCTGTGCACATATTTCATAGGATTTCATCCTACAAGAACAAGCTCATTGGCATTGGGCCAAGTATTGTATAATGCTCTTGGGAATGGGTTTTATTGTTGTTGTCACTTGAGGCTTCAGTGCCTGAAGAGGATAAAAAAAAAATCAAATGAGGGTCTAAATAAATAGAATTTCGGATCTTGCATAATATCACTCAATGGCAACAGCAGGTGTTTGACAGTACTGCAAACTTCCTCAGAATGTGCTCCTGCCAACATGGCTGTGATTCAGTGGAATGATTCAATGACTGCAGGCCGGTATCCTGCGAGCCAGCCTTCCAGCAGAAAATTGCAAACACTGCCAGTCCATTAACATTTAAGATTTAGTGTGTTAGAAAGAGGCCTGTGTCCTTTTCAGGTAATGGGGAAAACAATCACTTTTCTTCCAGAGAAATACAGGAAGAATAATGTCTATCAACTGCAATGGTATCTCTGAGAAAAGATTCAGGATGCAATTTCTTAGCAGCTCACCCTTTCTACAGGGTGAGAAATGCCATTCCCTAACCATGAGCCTTGTTATAATGAGGGGCTTCCCATCAACTTCCTTTAATCCAAATGAGGGAAGGTGTCTTCTGAACTGTGCAAAAATGTCAGACACATCATATGTTAACCAAATGCTGTGGGGGAAAAAATCTCTTGGCTGTCATTATATGCTGGATCTGGACAGCTAAGGATCCCCTCCCTTTTCTCTGGGCATGCACACACATGCATAGGCAGTATGCATATGCACAGGCAAATATCCTGGCAGAGCAATTGCCAAATACATGCACACTGAAATTGGGGAAGGCTGTCTCACAGCTCAGAGATGCATGCTGTGGGTACAGAACAAGATGATCACAGTACAGTCATGATCCTTCAGCTGTGTAACCCATTAACCTGGGTTAGAACTATGTGAAATGAAATCTCCTTCAAGTAAACAACCAGTGAGGAACGAGACATGCCTGGAACAAGTACAATTTCGTTTAACTCTCCTTTTGCTCCATTATTCTTTTGTGTAGCTGAAGAAAAATCGAGCTGGGAGCTGAGAAGCAATTCACAGTGCTGCTACTGTAATCTTTGTTACAACACAATGTGCACCTCCTTAACTGTCCACCTTCTGTAATATGAATAATGAGCTACTGCACTTACAGAGACTTTGTTAAATACTTTGCCTTTATCACAGGTGCCACAAAACCATCCAGGATCAAAATTGACTCCTTTAGAGTTGATTTAAAGCAGGAGGGAATGGCTTAGTGGTCTAAGTACACATCTGTGATAATTAGACTCTCTGGAGTGATGGGTTCACCCCCTAGCAAGAATGACTCATCCTTTTGAGCAAGATAAATCATCTTTACTGTATTTGGGTCTTTTGGATAAGACTTTCAAAACCAAGGGCCAGATTCAAAGGAATTTCACTCTTTTACGCTGGGGCTGAATTGTGCGCCACAGTCCTGTCTCCTGTACATGGACCTTGAAGACCTCAAAGCACTTTAAATAACAGAGGCTGCTTGCCCCAATGTCCTTAGGTAAAAGAGTCCTATTGCTTGTCACGGGACATGTTGTGCTCCTGCCTGCCAATCCTCTTCCCTGAAATAGCTATATTGGAGCAGGGACATGGTGGAGGTGTGTGCAGGGGTTAAGAAAGGCCCTGTGCACATGTGTCATGCTGCTAATAAGAACCATCAGTCTTGTGTTTTTAATTGCGTTTCCAAATGAATAGTTTCTACCATACTTCAAAATTGCTACAGTTCAGAGCTCAGATCTACGGCACTAATTCTGGACCTGTAGGTGACTCATGATAGCACTTGGGAAAGTGAGCTGTGCTTCTGGAAGCAGGAGTGAGGTTTGGGAGACAAGGCAGTAAGGAGAAGGGAATTGAGAGGGTGGGAAGAGGAAACAGAGAGGTGAGAAAAAAAACATAAGGGAGAAAAAAATAATTGTAAAGTGTAGGGATAAAAAAAGAGAGACAGGGAGAAAATAAAAAGAGAATAAAGAAATAAATCCCACTAGCGAGTAAAACCATTCTGCCCCTAAAGGTTAGTAAATATTACATTTATTCATGTGCATCCATTTTCTTTCCCCAGTTTAAAAAGAGGAGAGCTTAACGGTGGCGGATGGTCTGTCTGCAACCTGGAGGGAGGAAGCTCTGGGTTTGACCACAGGATGGAGGGGAGGAAGAGCAGATACCACACGAGCACATCAATTTTTTCAACCTGAGCTTTGCATACATAACTCTTCGCCAATAAGCTAGTTTTCCTCTCTTTACAGAAAATATTTGAAAGAGAGGATGGGGGATGGCACAAATGAATAGCAGTAGAGCATGGCTAGCTAATTGCAGTCCCATGTAATCCTTTCACAGTCGTTATCATTACTGCATATATTTCCAGCCCAATTCGCCTGTTTTTTCCGGCCTCCTGTCTTTGCAGCTGCCTCCTCTTCTCCCCTTCCTGATGGCTGCAAATCTCTGCTTATCACCCATTTTCATGCTGTGCTTTGTCTGCCTCTTTGTGTTCATCCCTGTACAGTTTCTTGGCTGGGTATATATGGCTGCATGGCCGCTTCTTATGTCCCAGACATTGTGAGTAAGTGTACCGTGTGAGCTGCTACTTTAGAGTGCAACCTTTTGTCTTATTTTGATTCCGGGTGATGTAATTTCACACATGGTCAGACTGAGGACCTGTTTTCAAACTAAGTGGCTGAAATGGATATGCTACTGTTTTATGAGGCAGTGAGATTAATATGATTATTTATTTATTATACTTTTTTCTTTTTGTACAAATGGATCCACTGCATGAATTTTTCATGGAACCTCCTAAAACCATCCCCACTTCCTAGGGAGGATTTAAGCTCTTTGGGGAATTTCCCCAAATTCTTGTGTTTTTAATTGATGCCCATCATGTAAGAAGTGCTCCTGATTTCATGAAAACACACAAACCTGTCAGCCTCTCTTCTCCCAAGAGAAATTCTCTCATTGTCCCTCTCTGCCCAGCTATAATCTCCACAAAGACAGACTTCAAACAGCTAAGCCTCCTCCCATTGTATCGGGTCTATAAGTAGTGCACCACTTTATGCTCACATTTAACAGGTTTCAAGCTTCAGTGATAAACTGGCAACATTTTCCTCATGACAGCTGTTTGACAGCTTTTGAAAATGGATAAAAAAAATCGAAAATTACCCTACAAAGGAAACATACCCTTCTCTTCATAACTCAAGCTGTGACATGGAATGAATGAAATAACACACTTATTACATTCTGGGCATTGAATGTAAAATGCACTGCCTTCCACCATTCCACTTGATTTGATAATCTAGTACAATTTAGGCCTCTAATAAATTAAATTGTTCGGAAACTTGGTTGGCTGCCTAAAATCTGTGCAAGGCTGTGCTGGTTAATGATGTCTTTCTTTCTGCCAGTGTTTTATGTTCAGGATAAATAATTCAGCCTAATAAACCCTGTGATCTGTGGGGTTAATTGACATCCACAGTAATTCTCGACTCGTGAACAGCACCCATATTTGTATGCCTTTCATCAAGTTCTGCAGTCGCACTTA